TTTTTTTTTTTTTTTTTTTTTTTTTTTTGCATATTTCTAGTCTTTTTTTGGGATATTCAAAATATTTTACACCTATCATATTTTCTTAAACTTTGGTTTTTGAACGTTTCCTTTTTGTTATCCAACTAATAAGTACTCAAAAGAGAAGATAAACCCATCAACAGAAGTCTAGTTCTTTAATCTAAAAGGTAATATGTACGCGCATAGAACAATCGAGCATTAAATTTGGTCCTTTTTTTAATTATTATTTCGTATGAATTTTTTGAATATTTTTGTAGAAAATAAAACTTTTGTACAAAAATATAGAATGTGAAAAATAAAAGGATAAGGAGTAATAGCCAATCCATAAAACAAACAAAGAGCTATACTACTTTGGTAAGGTGCATAAGAATAATGCGGAATAAGGTGTATTAGTAATGCTGGTATTAGTTATACTTACATTAGTTATGCTGGTATTAGTTATGCATATTTCTTATCCATTGTTTGGTTTGATATATTAAAGCATTGCACAATTTCTAAAAGAATTGTTTGTTTACAAAAAAGCCCTCAAAATCAGTCCATCACTCTATTTTTTTAGAAGAAACATATGTTAGGAATGTTTTTACATAAAAAGGTTTAAAAATAATTATTTGATTTGTGTACCTATATTGTAGTATATAACTAAATATTTATTTAAAAAAGGAAATATGCTAAGTATTTATTTATTTACTAGGGATATAATTTTATTTCTCACTATTTGGATTATTTTAAATTTGCATTAATATAATAGCATATTTTAATCAAGCATAAATTTTGAAGGATAATTGTGTCTTTAACTAAGCTAATGCATGCATTAAAACCCATTGCATTGCTAATACCATGGCTTTCTATGCATTAGTTATGCATAAGATAATACCAAATATGGTGTATAACTAATGCATAGTTTCAAAAAGTGTACCAAATAAAGTATTATTAATACAAAGCTAATGCATGCATTATTTTATCTAATGCATCCTATCAAACGACCCCTAAGTGTTACAGTGAAACAACGAGAGAGGGGCCCACTTGAACAATAAGTGGTAGTTTAAAACGCAGCAGTAACAATAAGCGGTATGGAAAGTTGAGGTGGACACCGCACTTCCAACAAACTTATCAAGTGTGTACAAGTAATAAAGCTAACAAGTACAATATCTTGAAAGCATATAAACTATGGAATTTCAAAAATATTCCTATGTCAGGGAGACATGTTGACCATGAGGTGCCCGATTATCCCCACTTATAGTATAGGAATACGAATAGAAATGCATGAGTGAGTTCCTCTAGTTGAGACAATAAGATATGCTAGACCATTCTGCTTTAGCCTTTGGAGGAAAATTGGCCAATAGAGTAAAACTTAACCAATAGGTTGTGAGTTCGAGTCACCCCAAGAGCAAGGTGGGGAGTTCTTGGAGGGAGGGAGCTGAGCGTCTATCGGAAACAGTCTCTCTACTCCAGGGTAGGGGTAAAGTCTGCGTGCACACTATTCTCCCCAGACCCCACTAGTGGAATTGTACTGGGTTGTTGTTGTTGAGTAAAACTTAACTTATTTTCACTCTTTGAGGAGGTACAACCCAAATATTGAAAAATGACTTACGGAAAGGACTACATTATTTTTGATTGATTTACGAACAATAACAACAACAAACTCATTATATTCGCACAGATAAGGTTTGAAAAGGGTAGTGTATATGCAAACCTTATCCCTACATAGTGAAGGTAGAGAGTTTGTTTCAATAGACCNTACTCTTCCTTGTTATTTGACCCTCTATGTAGCATTAGTGTTCTCTGATTGGGATGACAAAAACTTTCATTCTCGTTATCCAAACACCATCAACCCTTTGCTAACCCTTTTGAGCTAATTACCTTTGTTTGATTATCCTCTTTGGAACCGAAGATGTTATTTTAAAAAAAAAAAAAAAAAAAAAAAAAAAAAAAAAGAAGAAAAGAAGTAGTGCCAAATAGTAACAATAGGGAAATACGATATACATCCAAATGATTAAATAGTTGCAAAGTCATAACGGAGTCACATAGCGCTAGCATACAGGAGATATATGACAATATTTCCCATTTGATACCACTGCTCAATATCTGAATCCCATTATAACAGTACAAAAAACTACGCATCAACTTGAAACCAAGGTTCCTACTTGCTCAAGTTTATACATGACTTTTACAAATTGCAGTTGATTGATTATTTAAGTAAACGAGCTAGGTCAGGGTCATCTAAGCTGACATCCAACCATCCGTTTAAGCGCATGTATTCAATGTAATGATCAGGTGGCTTTATAGCACGAGCGTTTCTTGGAGTGAAGCCATAAATTCTCTCGAGATCCCGAGCAAGCCATCGAGCATATGCTTGATCTATAGGAGGGACAATCTTCAAAAGCACCTCATGTCTCTCCGGTTTCGCTGGCTTATTTCCCATGACCGGTCAACTTCAAGAACCTGATGACTGATGCAAACAAGAGACAGTGTGCTGAGAAAAAAAACGATGCTCTGTGTATCGAAGTTACACACAATATAAACAAACATTATGCTGAAAGGTTTAAAAAAACACACTAAAAGAATAATAAAAAGAAGTATAGGGCATCTCGATGAAGCTGAAGATACAGAACAATGAACAATAAACATATGAAAGGAGCTGTGTCAATACTTTCAAGACCAGTATCAAAAGTCCAGATATCTTGGCAGTATATGGTCAATATCAACACTTTTTTTCTCAATCAACCTTCTTTTTCTTAATGTAACAAATCTAAGGCTTAAAGGACAAAAATGCCTCAATTTTATAACCCCGGAAAACTAACCCTGTTCAGAGATTCAGCAGAAGTGCAAGACAGTCGGCATAGATTTCTCTAAGCAGGATAATTGACCAATACGAATCGTGACCATGTGGCAACTGCCAATTGCATAAAACGAAAAGCAAGATAGGCTTCCAAATACCATCTTGGATTGGTTGGCAGTCAATTGGTTCCTGTATGTACCGTTCCCTAAAATCTGAGTTACTTCACAGCTAATGGGCACCGGTTACATAGTTCAGAGAGTTTTTTAAAGTTTTAAATTCTTGCTGTGGAGTAAATATACCTGCAATTTTTCATTATAAAGTCCTTTTCCACCCCACCCAAATTTTATCTAAAAAATAAGAGTTCTTCAAGTGACATGATTCTTTATAATCTGTTGCAGAATTATTTAAATGTTTCTTTATAAGCTAGTCTCTGTTTCAAGTTGAGGAATATTGCAAATGGATTTACAAATAACATGCCAAAAAGTTCAAAAGAGGAGACAAACAAGTATTAAGTAACAATTTGACAAGAACCAGAAGATGGAGCTTCCCATCTTCATAAAATAATATGAAAGAGCATGCAAAGAAATATCATATAAGGTATGTAAGATGATTGGCGATGGCCAATAAGGCTTCAAGTGACTGCACTATTCTGTTCCGCTCAATCTAACAAATATAAACACAATCAATGTTAGGACTCAGGAGTTGTTCAAAACACACTTATTAGAGCTTTATTAGTATGGACCCATAGATTCAAAAGATGTAAGCCACAAAAAGCTTTAGACCCACAAATTCTCTAATTGCATCATTTTCCCTAATTTAGACGTATCTACTCTTTTAGAATTGTTAACAATGATATTTAATTTCCGATCCACGAGTTCCTTCTCTTTTTCTCTTGACTCAAACATTCCATATTTATAAGGTTTTATTTATCCATGACACAAAGGCTTATCAATAAAACTTACACTAGTAAAAAGGGGTACAAAACTCGGGGATAATCCAAGCATCCAAAAAGGACGTCACAGTATCAATAACAAGCTGAATTATCTCGGAAGTTCAAAAGAAGGGTAACAAGCTGTATGATGAAAGAACTTAGAGAAATTTGTACTAATTAAGCATTTTGAATAACTGAACTATGACCTGTAACTAGCCTCTATCCAAACTAGAGAAAGTGAGTATACTATTCTGAACTCTCTTTGAAGCTGTAACTGTGTATTACCATCTCAGAAGGTCTTTGGTGCACATTCAAGACTAAGGTCCATCTCTGTTTCACTGTGTTAGGATGTGCGAAAAAGTACAAACTACGAAAATAGGAAAGAGAAGAGCATAGAACTAGAGCGGACAACATTCTCACCATACCGATAATCTTATAACCAATTAAAAACTACCCCTGATTATCATTAACACAAAACAAAAAATAGATTCTTGATAGTGAGTCCTTGAAAAGTCTTCGTATGAAAAGGCATTATTCGGTAATGAATAAGATCATTTTCCCGCAACTAGTTATCCAAAATGTCAAAACTGTTTACCTCAAAGTGGTATGATGGGAAATACTGAGGAAGTCATTTTTTGTTATTTGGTTACCAAAATTTTTTATTCAAGGAAAACACTTCCCATTCTCACTTATGAGAGAAGTCATTTTGCTTTTATAACTATTTCAACTCTTGCTCTATATCACTTACTCCAGCCAAAACTTAGACATTATTATCAATCTATAATAAATAACATATTTTTCACTCACCAACTAAACACCGAAAAGAAGTGAATAGACCAGTATTTTCATGGAAACATTTTCCTATATACCAAACACACCTAAATAGAAAAAAATTACTAGCTTTATCCCTCATTAATTTCACTTATTGCTTTTCAAGATTACGCCAAACACCAGCTACCCTCCATTGACTGCATTTCACAAACTCAATATGCAAAAAATATTGGTGATAAGGGCAGTCTTTAAATTTCAAAACACAAACAAAGAGAAATTGCAGGAGACCATCTCAATGATAATAACGGACTTTGTGTGTTCATTAAAAATTGCAGTCATATAAAATTAACTCCAGTTTCAAACACCCAATCAGATATAGTAGCACAATAAGTCGAAAAACATACTGAGGGGAACTGAACTTTTGGAAATTACAAGAGAGAGCAGTGTATAGCGAAGGAACAAGATCAATCAAAATTAAAAATATCGGAAGGCAGAGAGAAAAAAGGAAAAATAAACTCACCGCTAGATGAACAAAAACAGAATAGCAAAATCCTCTAGAAAGCGCAAGCGCAATGCCTGCCACATTTTTGTTTGAAGCGTTTTCAGGTCCGAGTCAGTTTCCGGGTCGGATCTCAACCTCTTCTTTTCATTCTTTTTTTCTTTTTGGATTATTAATGGTGAAAGTGTTATAAAATAAAGACTGTAAAGTAAAGACAAGTATAGAGAGAAACTGATAATTCAAACTTCAAATTTATGTGCATAATGAACTGAATTCTTCTCTATTTATAGAAGAAAGGAAGCTGCTGTGTAAGCTGCTACTGCAAGCTGCTGTGTAAGCTGCTTGTAAGCTGCTGCTCTAAACTGTTGTGCCAGATAGAGATAATCTTCTATCATGGATAATATTTATCCATAACGGAGTACCGAAATGATAAGCTTTTTCAGGAGGCTTATTTCCAATAGAGTACTAAATAGATAAATATATTTATGGCGGAGTCTCATATGGATAAACTTCTTCAGGAAGCTTATTTACAACAGAGTACTAAATGAACATCCATAATATAATATATTCATAACACTCCCCCTTGGATGTTCATTAAAAGATAATGTGCCTCGTTAAAACCCTACTAGGAAAAACCCCGTGGGAAAAAATCCTCGTGAAGGAAAAATAGTATACATATTTAGTAATACGCATTGCTAGCTGCCTCATTAAAAACCTTATAAGGAAAACCCTGTGGGAAAAAACCTTAATAAGGAAAAAAGAGTACATCGCGTATTTTACTCCCCCTGATGAAAACCTTGTTTCAAATATTTAAGTCTCCGCATTCCAATCTTGTATACCATCTTCTCAAAAGTTGAAGTTGGTAAAGATTTGGTGAATAAATCTGCCGGATTGTCACTTGAACGGATTTGTTGCACATCAATGTCACCATTTTTCTGAAGATCATGTGCGTAGAATAATTTTGGTGAAATGTGCTTCGTTCTATCTCCTTTTATAAATCCTCCCTTCAATTGGGCTATGCATGCAGCATTGTCTTCGTATAAAATTGTGGGTCTTTTCTCACATTCCAAATCACATTTTTCTCGAATAAAATGAATTATTGATCTCAACCATACGCATTCCCTACTTGCTTCATGAATAGCTATTATTTCAGCATGATTTGAAGAAGTAGCAACAATAGATTGTTTTGTGGAGCGCCATGATATGATAGTACCTCCACATGTAAACACGTACCTGGTTTGAGATCTAGCTTTATGGGGATCGGATAAATAACATGCATCTGCATAACCAACAAGATATGCACTATCTTTGTTAGCATAAAATAAATCCATATCAAGAGTTCCCTTTAAATATCGCAATATATGCTTAATCCCGTTCCAATGTCTCCGTGTAGGAGAAGAGCTATATCTTGCTAGTAAATTAACAGAAAATGCTATGTCAGGCCTTGTAGCATTAGCAAGATACAT